CACACAAGTGCTCCCTCTAGCTTCCCATCTGAAGATAGATAGACCAGTAGCCTGTTCCCAAGATCCTGCTGCTGCTGAGATATGTGCACTCGTGATCACAGTGAAGCTGTGAGTCTTCAGATTAATCGTTTATCTTTTTGTAGAGTATGAGGACAGTGCAGACAAGCAAGAATGGAACACAGCTTTGTTAAACATAACAAAAACATATTGCTTTACCTAAAGAACACACTATGAAAGGTTATGTATCATTGCAAGTAATAATTTCCATCCCACAATGCCTCTTAATTTAGGTCCTCCTATCCACTGGAGGTCCTCAGGAGGGCTCAGTGTTTAATATAGGCATTGGTTATCTTCAGGAGGTCTTTCTTTAATTCTGATTAATTGCAGGTATTTAAATCCCCCTTTCTCAGCTTTGTCTTTGTGGTGCTGTTACCTGTGCCTCCAACTCCATCCCCCTGCAGCTCATCTTGCTTGTGTTGTTTCTCTAGAGTTTAGTCCATAGTTTCTTCCTGCTTCTCTCTTAAAAGAGAATATATATTTTTTAATATACTTTTAAGACTGGCCCAACTGGTCAGGAGTGGGATGCCACCATACCAATAAGACACACGTAAGCTTATGATGATACATGGTGTTTCAGAGTGACATCTCTATAGCTCCAAGGGAAGTACATCAGTTGCACAGCAAAATTCTTAAAATCATTGTCAGTAAAAACAAAGCTAAAAGCCAGGATGCTGATGCGTGTTTTAAATATCATATTGATGATAACTGTGCAGGAATGGTAAAAAGTGTCAATGTAGTTGTGCTTGGCCCTTTTTGTAGAACATTGCACATGACTTTGGTTATAAAACCTATCATTTCAGTATTTGCTAGATTTCTGCACTAAGCTGCCATTTCTACACATTGTAGCTAAAGAGTAAATGTTTTTGATCCTTGCAATAGCTGGGAAAACCTGCAAAGTTTTAAAAAAAATCAGCCTGGTTTATACACAGGGTGATCCTATGGTCATCAGGTAACTTAGGCTGGAAAGGCTCTTCCAAGGTCCAACTTCCTGCTCAAAGCAGGTTACTCAGAACTTTATCCAGGTGGGCTTTGAAAACCTTCAGGGATGGGGACTGCACAGCTTTGCTGTGCAACTTGTCCCACTGCCTGGCTGTCCTCATGAGGAAATAATTTCTCCTTATAACCTGTCTGACTCTCCCCTTTAAGTTTATATCCACTCTTAGCCACTCATACCACGGTATTCAATGGATTACTATGTCTCTGACTTAGGAAAACATTGAGGCAGGTCCTAAGGTCCTCTTGATTTCTGCATCCACAGGCCAGGTGCCTGCCCTTGTGAGAAGACAGAATCCTGGCCATGCCTGAGTGCTCAGTGTTTCCAGCTGTCTCAAACTCTGCCTGTACACAGTGGATCAGCAGCTTCCCCATGAACAGGCCTCAGGGGACTTCACTGTTCAGTATAGGAACGATGTTTTAAGAGAAGTCTTAGAATTCAGACATTGCAACACCCATATTTTTGAGGCCCGTGGCCTCTTTCCAATCTAGTTTCTTTGGTACAGTAACCGGTGGGTTTAACAACAGCAAAGTACAGATCCAGTGACAAGACATAAACATGTCTCTCAGCAGTTTTTTCATTAAAATGCTAGTTACATCCAGGTGTTCCTCAAGGATTTGTCTCAGCACACCAAAAAAACAATTGTCCACACACACAAAAAACCAATTTCCACCCCCCCAAAAAAAAAACCCAAGAAAACCCAAACAGAAAAAAAAAGCCACAAAACAAAGACAACAACAACAAAAGCACACACAAAAAAACCAAACCAAACAAAAAAAGATCAACACAGAAAAAAACCCACCAAAACAACAACAAAAGGCTGAAATACCTTTTTTTTTGGCTTCTACCTAGAAATGGAGAAACAATACTTGGTACCAAAAAAATCTGTTCCAGAGACATATATGTTTTAAAATCTGTGGGGTTAGGAGCTTGTGCAACCTGCTTCCCTTCAGCTTGTATCTTGTCATTAACTCACCACAAGAAATCATGAGCTCAAGATTAAATTGTTTCCATGTACAGTTGGAACATGGGAATTAGGTTTCTCAGCATCGTCTGCGTCAAAACTCTGGTGTCCCAGTGTGACATGCTCCTCACTTCTTTAGTCTCTTTCCTTCCCTCCAACCATTTCGTCATCATTTTTCCTTTTCTTTTTTTTTTCTTTTTTTGTTTCAGTAATTTACTGTATTTATGAATTTTTGAGAGCTCCATCTTTCTGGCAATATGTCTGAAATTAGCTTGTGGGCTGAAAGGGTGTTGGACAACAGGATGAACACACAGCATGAACACATAAGCTTTTTATCTGCACTAAACCTGGCTAAGAGCAACAGCATTTGACTGACAGCACAGTTCTACTCCAGACAAAACAAATGTGGAAAAAATAGAGGTATAATGCATAGGATGTGCTGGAAATGCTAAAGATTATCAATACAGTGGTCCAGGCAGTTTACTACTATGACATGAACTTTCTTCGTCTGTGACAACCAGCTTCTTTTTCCCCTTAGCTTCAACTGTGTTGCACAGTCATCTGTGTTCCACCTTGTTCCCTGTGTTTGCTTGTGCAGAGGTGCAGGCAGTTGGGGGGCTGGAGGTGTCTGAGGAGAAGTATCCAGTATAAGGGGGAGATTTGGAAAGTAAGAGGGTACCAGAAGGAACTCAGGTGTGTGAGGCATTGGTGTCCCCAGAGCATGAGATAGTGATGGATGAGGTGACCACTGGAGAGAGGAGGGTTGGAAGTATTGAAGGATTGCTGCATTTTGTGTTGGTACAGGTATGGTTTACAAAGTGGTGTAGGTGGTGGGTCTTTATGGAGGCATTGCAAACCATCTTTATTGCAAACCATACGGTGCAGTAACAGTTGCATTGGTCTTTCAGGTGTTCATAGTGCATGTGAATGGTGGAAGGACTGGTACATTACCATTTCCCTGGAGCATGGGCATTTATTGTTCATTTGGAAGTCTGCATATATTTAGGGTGCTGGGTGAAGAGAGAGGACAGGTTTAGCAGGCCAACATGATGCAACAGGTGATGAAATACATCATCTGAAAGTAGGGCCCTTGTTGGATGAAGGGGTAAAAAACTCTTAGTCACATATTTAATATTAATAATTTAACACTGGAATATTGCTCTGCAGGATGTGTGTGGATGAAGAGTATTAAGGGCAAGACCAAGCACCCTGACACAAGGTTCAGACTCCAGGTCCTTTGGCGATGACAAAATTTGCAACCCAGCATTCTCACCCTCTGCCTGACAATAACACGAGCAACAAAGGCCCTTGACACTGAGCAGCAATCTCATTGCTATTTCTTCAAACTGTTTTCATGAGTTAGACATCTTCTGCAAGTAGGCATCAGCTTTACACGTTGGCAGTGTGTGCCTGGACCTACCTCCAAATCATTATTCACCTGTGTCTGCTGGTGAACAAACTCACTCCCTCTGCAATATCCCTCCTGCTTGGTAGATACTCATTCCTAGAAACAGGTCATGACAGTGTGACTTTCCCTGGGCTCTCTCTACCCTGTTCCTCATCCTCAGCTATGATGTGCCTCATCAGGAAGGCCAGAAAGTTTAGGCTTTTTACCCTCTCGTGCCCTTGCTACACCCCTGCTGAGGCTAAATAATAAGGAAACAAATTAATCTAATCTGTGGCATCACTTTCTTTAATAACATGACATTTATCTGATAGCATAAATTGCATTTTAAAGGGAGATTTCTAATTATTTTTGCCATGCTCTGCAGACTCTCCAGATTCAGATTCTCCAGATTCTCCAGGCTGTGTCTGAAGTCAGAAGGGGCTTGTACCAGTGTTTTCCAGATTCTGTTCTCAGCTCTCCCTAAATTTGACAAGAAAATTTGGGCATGTGCTCAGCATATACATTCACAAATGGTATTTTATACAGGGTGCAGGACTGCAGCATTTTTTCAGGAGAGCTGCTGTTGAAGTAAACTCCCTACATAAGGAGCAGCAGCACAGTTAACTCTCTATAGGACAGCTAATATATGCCAATGACATAGACTCAAAAAATCTTATGTGAAAATGAGCATGAGGTAGAGGAAAGAGTAAAAATTTCTGAATGGATTTTTAATTTCTCCCTCTTTTTTTTGGTTATTTCATCCATCTCACAGCTTCCTAGTAAACTCAGGGTAGGCACCCCTGCTGCTTTTGCCACATTTGCTGTCTGATTTCAATGGCCCGTGGTTTTCAGTTCACAGAATGACAGAATCACAGGATCTTAGGGGTTGGAAGGGAACTCAAAAGCCCATCCAGTCCAACGCCCCTGCCACCTTGAACCTCCTATGCTCCAATTTACACCCATTACCCC